ACCTCCTTTTTTCCTACGTCACTTGTCCCAACTATAACTTGTCTGAAGGTTAAACATAGTATCTTGGGTTAGAAAAGTAGACTTACCATCCATTTTAAGTTGTTGTCCCCCCCCCCCCCCCCCCCCATCTGTTTTTAAATTTCAGCGTGATCAAGTAGTCGACCTACCATCAAACTTTAGTGAACAATTTGAGAATTACCTTAAGTGACTTAGTGTTTCCCGAGAGGAGAAGACAACAAGTGAATTGTAATGTCTTGAAGATAGGGGTTGGCCTAAAAAGAACCTTCAGTGAACAACTTACCAAGACCAGTGATCAACTTGAGAAGTACACAGAGCAACAAAAGGTGCCCCAAAGATAGTGTTCGACTGATCCAGGAGCCTTGGCAAATCACCTGAGAAGTACACTGGACTAATTAAGCCGTCACAAAGGCGAAAGACATCGAATGAGTTAAGGTGTCCCACATAGTGACAAGTGATTAGATTTCTGTCAGGGGAGCCACTTACCAAGGAACTTGAATTGACGACTTGAGCAGTGCTTGGATCGACTTTATGTATTTCCAAAGAAGAAAGACATCGAGTGATTTAGAGTGTACCACTGACTGTGGACGACTTACAAAGAAATGTCAGGGTCCGATTTAGCAAGACTAGTGAAAAGCAAACGAAAGCAAAAGGAAGCAAACGAGAATGCGGTCAATATCGAGGCATCTATCTTTTAAGCCATGTTGGCAAAATGTATGCCAAGATAATAGAAACAAGACTGAGACCAGTGATAGAACCACAGCTGGCAGAAGAACAGATGGGATTTAGGAGAAATAGAAGCTGCAAAGATGCAATCTTCACACTTAAACAGTTAATAGAAAAGAACATTGAATACAATAAGAACTTATTTATGGCATTCGTAGACCAGGAGAAGGCATTTGACAGAGTCGACAGACAATTATTATGGAAAATAATGGCAAGATATGGAGTAAGCGAACATCTCATCGAAGTGTGCAAAAGTTTATACAGGAATTGTAGAAGTGTAGTTAGAATAAATCAGGGAATATCTCATCCTTTCACAGTGACATCTGGAGTAAGACAGGGGTGTGTCTTATCACCACTGCTGTTTATAACCTACATCGACAGTATATGCAAGAATGCCAAGCCCATGAATGAAGATCTTAGTAAGATCAACGAATTACTCTTTGCAGATGACCAGGCCTTGATAGCAGATACAGCCATGAAATTGCAACAACATCTAACATCCATGAATGAAGAATGTAAAACAAATAATATGAGAATCAACACTGAAAAGACAGAAGTAATGTCAATTGGAAAAAAGAAGACAGATCTAAACATAAACAATAGAATACAAGGGCATTAAACAGGCATCTGAGTTTAAATATCTGGGAACTACATTTACCGAAGATGGGAAATTGGATAAAGAAATTGACATTAGATGCAGTAAAGCAAACCAAGTATTGGGACAGCTAGCTCCCCTCTTACAGCATAAGACAATCCCAATCAGCACAAAGAGACATCTTATTCAAAGCATATTTATTCCAACTCTGTGCTACCAGTGTCAGACATGGTCACTCACAACAAACCATAAAAGAAAATTAGAAACCACGGAAATGAGATGTCTGAGAAGGGCTGTAGGAGTGACCATAAGAGATAAGATCAGAAATGAGATCATAAGAGAACAAGTCGGCACAGAACCAATTCTGGATTACATACAAAGACAGCAAGTGAAATGGTTTGCCCACTTAGAGAGAATGCCTTGTGACACCATACCATACAAAGCATACATGGGAAGAGAAGAAGGACGTAGAGCAAGATGGAAGGATAACATCAGAGAAACTCTACAACAGTACGATGTGCCTATGGTCGAGGCAGCCAGAAGAGCTAGAAACAGAACCTTATATCTCCCTCGACACCCACAGCTGTAAAAGAGGAAGTGAAGAAGAAGAAGAAGAAGTGAAAAGCATGAGCCGTCTCTTGGGTAACTTAAATCACGTTTGATCGTTTGACTGTGTGCGGTCCCACCCCGTTTTCCCTCCCTTGTTCAGCTTCTTGGCCATAGTTCAGTCTTCTTCTTCTTGTTCTTCTTCTTCACGTTCACCGGCTGTAAACTTCGGCGGAAGTTTCTCGTTGTCCCTCCACTTCTGGACTCTAGTCCTATTCCAGAAACTGATCGCTGCGTGCACATCCGTTTTACTGGCCTGACGCATTTTGAATGTATACTGTTAGGTTCCTTGCCTCTTAGGCAGATGTATAACCAGATTGTGACCGGTACCATCAGTATTGGAATTCTACCCCGAGTGGTGTGATGTCATTTCTTGACTCAACTCAACTCAGGATGATGTACTCCGACTTTGAAGTAAGCTCCCAGTTAGTCGACTCTTACGACATGCTTTTTGGCCAGCATTGGATCTATTCTTTTTTTCTTCTTCTTCAATGAACTCCCTGAACTTTCACGGGGAATAGTTCAGTCTATTTTCAGTTTTTTTAATGACGGTGTAGAAGAGTTAATATTCCCACTCGGTGCAAATGCGCACCGTCCCGTGTGTGGATGCGGAAATCTCGGCCCGGACGAGAGAGCAATCAGCAATTCCTGTCGTCTGCACCAAGTCCTCCAAGATGGTAAACTAAATGTTGCAGTCGATCGCCTCTCTCTCTCTCTCTCTCTTCTACCTCTCTAATCTCATCTTCCATCTTGCTCAGCTGACACGATTATACAATTGTATAATATCTTGCGTGAGCAGCCAAGAGTGTAGTAATAATTTATTTATAATATTTATTTGAACAACGATATTCTGTTCATTACACCTGGGTTGTAACGGGATGCTTGTTTCTTAGAAACTTTTTATTTCCATATTGGATATTTATTTCTGCTTGTCAGTTTCAGATAGTTCAATTACTTTTGGTTATGTAGTGTTGTATTGATTGGTGTATTGACTGTAACGTATTGTAAAAACATAGAAGTCAAGAACTGTGGAGTTGATGTAAAAATAATGTAAGGTGTTCGATGGAGAATTTATAATTTAATAATACATGTATACCTGGGTCATGTGATAAGGTAATCATAAACAAACAATACATCCAGCTGACTCTGGAGCTTCAGACAAGTCTTCTGTGTTTTGTATTTGAAAATGAACATAGTTTCACCTAGAAATATGTATGGATGTTTTAGAGTCAAGATTAAGTTTATAATAATGTCCTTTGAGGTCTTGAACAAAGGTTACAACGGATCAACATCATGGCATACAAATGTAACCCATAAGCCATAAGTGCTCAGTTCTTCTTCTAACTCAAGTCTGAGTCCGAAGAAGCTCAGCACAGTCTACAGGCTCTGTAGCACCGGCAAGGATCCTGAAATACTTCGGATAGATTTTTAACTCCAAATTTTTCCCTTGCAGCTCCGTTAAGCTATTCTTTTCTATTTCCAACTGCCTAGGGATTTTTTACATGCGCAACAATGCACAAGGGCGTCTGATCTCACTACCCAGAGACCAAGGGGAATTACTAGAAGTCCAAGATCATGTGAAAAAATCCCAGCCCTTACCGGGGATTGAAACCGAAACCTCTAGCACTCAAGGTCCTTTGTTTGTCAATGCATGAGAAGTTGTTACTAATCTGATTTCCTTTTGCAGTTGCACTTTCATTCATTATTTGGAATGCTCAGTCCTATCTTAGATCTACAGTCAACATAATAATAGCAGTAATTTAAAGAAAAAACACACACAATACCCTAATCTACACATCTGGGTTGTAATAATTGGAATGTTTAGTTTATTTTATATTTTCTTTTTTTTTCCTTGTTTACTGGCTGTAAGCGCCGTCAGAAAGTCCTAGTTGTTGGTCCATCTGGACTTTGTGCCAGGGCCTGACCTTTGCATGTACATCCATTTTACTGGCTTATTTGTGTGCAGTTTTCTTGTTTTATTGCCTCTCAGGCAGATGCACCCCGACTTTGAAGAAAGCTCCCAGCTAGTTAACTCTTACGGCACACATTTTTGGGTAGGCAGTGGGTCTGTTCTTGTTACCTCACAACGGGGCTCTGGAACCCACACAGTGATTTTTAAATTTTGATACTGGATATTTTGCGTGTCAGTTTTGCTTATTTAATATTGTATAAAGTATGTAATGATTGTCAGCTCTGTGGCTAAGTCGATGCGAACGCTTTGTAATACCGGGGTGCCGGGTTCGATGCCAGCTGCGGGTTATGCGCCTTGCGTTGGTTTCGACAGTTGTATCAGGGGGCCGACCGTCCAGAAAGCAATGGCAAACTACTGGACGTAAATTTGCCTAGAGATACTACACAACAGCCAGGGGCTGCTGGGGTTGGTTCTGCAACGTCCTGTAAAGGATACACAACTAACCTTTTATGTAATAATTGTATCAGATATTAGGATTTAGAAGTGGGGAGTTGAGAGTTGGAATAACGTAACTAATGTTAATAATAACTGTGATGGGTTCGGTTGCAGGTAAGTTGTGTAACTGGGTCATGTGACACAAAAATCATAAACTGTCTGCTTTATAGTAAGAGTTCACCTGCATGAGAGGCGAAGAACCAGCAGTCTGCATTCAAATAAGCCAGGTCTGTAAAACAAGTGTTCACACACAACTCAGATTCTGGAGCAAGACCAAAGTCCAGATGTGGATGAACAACCATAACTTTCCACCGTAGTCTACAGCAGGTGAATTAGGAGAAGTTACATTTTATTTTACACCTCTCTAGTAGATATGGGAGTCAACATACCAAGCGGCTAGATGCTCGCCGTGGATCAGAAGGTTGTGGGTTCGCTCCCTGGCGGAGCTGGACAAAATTTTTCAAAAATGAACTTGGCTCCCAGATTGACCCAGCCATGAGTGGCTACTGGGTGCAGTCGTGGGAAGTAAAGGCGGCCGGTGTGATGCTGACCACATCACCCATCTTGTGCCGATTGGTCTATAAAAATATTGGTCTAGCCCTATAAGCCCTATACTGTTTGACTAAAATATTGTTCACCCGTCCACAGAGTTTCTTTGGCTTTGGCCAGAGTGCAGAAATTGACTTAGTTTTAGATGGACAAGAAAATCGCAGGCAAGCAGAGATTAAGACTGAAGATGGCAAGAGGGAGAAGTGCTACCTCTTCTTTGATGGTGAAAGTGTCTCCGGAAAGGTACTTTATCATCACTGTCCTGTTGTGCCAATTTTTATCATCACTGTCCTGTTGTGCCAATTTTTATCGTCACTGTCCTGTTATGCCAAACTTTATCATCACTGTCCTGTTGTGCCAATTTTTATCATCACTGTCCTGTTGTGCCAATTTTTATCATCACTGTCCTGTTGTGCCAATTTTTATCGTCACTGTCCTGTTATGCCAAACTTTATCATCACTGTCTTGTTGTGCCAAACTTTATCATCACTGTCCTGTTGTGCCAAACTTTATCATCACTGTCCTGTTGTGCCAAACTTTATCATCACTGTCCTGTTGTGCCAATTTTTATCATCACTGTCCTGTTGTGCATGTTTGGTGATTCTCTGTTGGTTTCTTGTCATAGTGTGTCCAGTATAGTACCATCCACTCTGTCATATAACTCTGTCTTATAACTCTGTCTTATAACTGTCTTATAACTCTGTCTTATAACTCTGTCTTATAACTGTTAATACTAGTGATTACCCAAACATTTTTCTATTTTCTTCACTTCTGAATTCATAAAATTTTTTTGGTCATCATATTCTTGAGGCCTGTGTTTTCAAATGCATTTAACTGTGCAAAGGTACTTGCTTTGTGTTTTCTCTTGTGACTGTTTCTTTAGGGTGATAATTGGGATATCAGGTGTTTGAGTTATTAGAGTATATACTTATTATTTTATATTTATTTAAGGCAATTTTGTAATTTGATTTTTGTTTCCAATTTTATCTTTAAGTGCAAAAGAAATCTGTAAAATTGCTAGGTCTATAAAATTGGTAGGAGAGCAGCTGGGGTCTAGCGCAGGGGTTCTCAAATTGGGTGCTTTGGCACCCCTGGGTGTCAGGGCAGTAATCAAGAATTTTTCAAAATATACTTGAGATCAGCGAAGACAGCAGTTTAAAACAGAAATATTGTGAAGGAAGCCAAGAAGAGTTATGGATGCTTGAGATCAGCGAAGACAGCAGTTTAAAACAGAAATATTGTGAAGAAAGCCAAGAGGAGTTCTGGATATACTTGTATTCAGAAGACAATGCTATTGGCATGGCTGCAATGCATCCTCAAACGTATGCTCACATAAAAAGCATATACAGTGGCAAACTTTCTGGGTCAGTTGATGTGAGGATAAAATTAACTAATTTCCCATGTTGGTGAGAAAGCTAAATGTTGGTAGGAAGACCAAAATGTTGGTGAGAAAGCTAAATGTTGGTAGGAAGACCAAAATGTTGGTGAGAAAGCTAAATGTTGGTAGGAAGACCAAAATGTTGGTGAGAAAGCTAAATGTTGGTAGGGAAGACCAAAAATGTTGGTGAGAAAGCTAAATGTTGGTAGGAAGACCAAAATGTTGGTGAGAAAGCTAAATGTTGGTAGGAAGACCAAAATGTTGGTGAGAAAGCTAAATGTTGGTAGGAAGACCAAAATGTTGGTGAGAAAGCTAAATGTTGGTAGGAAGACCAAAATGTTGGTGAGAAAGCTAAATGTTGGTAGGAAGACCAAAATGTTGGTGAGAAAGCTAAATGTTTGGTAGGAAGACCAAAATGTTGGTGAGAAAGCTAAATGTTGGTAGGAAGACCAAAATGTTGGTGAGAAAGCTAAATGTTGGTAGGAAGACCAAAATGTTGGTGAGAAAGCTAAATGTTGGTAGGAAGACCAAAATGTTGGTGAGAAAGCTAAATGTTGGTAGGAAGACCAAAATGTTGGTGAGAAAGCTAAATGTTGGTAGGAAGACTAATTGTTTATGGGAGGACTATAATGTTTGTTCAAAGACTGTAATGTTAGTAACCAGACAGTGTTGGTAGGTGACTGTAATCTTCAAAGGATGGTTATATATAATTCCGATATTATTAATACCCTCCGAGAAATAGAAAGGGCTGAGAACTTTGGTTGCCGTGAATCCACATCACTTGAAAGAATGATAGACTTGAGAGTTGAGGTCAACGTAGCAACAACAAAAAAACAAGATGCACATCAGAAAACTTGTTAATCAACATAGAACTGGTATTATTAGCCACAGAATGCTGGGGTTTATATTGAGGGAAGGATCTGAGCAGCTATGGACTTGTCCGGAGTGCAATGATGATAACCCAGAAGTTAACTAACTAATATAATGTTGGAAGCAAGACTATTATCTTGGTAGGAAGATTATCTTGAACACTGACTCATACATTTAGTGTTAAAACCCTTGACAGTTTCTTGTTTGTATAAGTAGTTTTTTTTTTGTCTTTTCAGGTGAATGTAACATTGAAGAAAAGTGGCAAACTAGAACACCAGGGAATAAAAATTGAATTCATAGGACAAATTGGTGAGTCCTGTATGTAATATCACGCAGTGTGTTTCATCTGTATTAGTGCATCTATATGTTAGCACTCTTAACCTTCAACGGGGGAACTGTCTCGGTTTAGCAGCTAGACGCTTGCCTCAGGTCATAAGGTTGTAGGTTAAATTCCACATCGAGTCATATTTTTATTCAAAAATGACCTTGGCTCCCAAGTTGACCCAGAGTAAAATGGGTATATGGTAAAGTTCTGGGAAGTAGAGATAGCCAGCCAAATGTTGACCATACTATCCACTGAGTGCTGACTGGTCTCTAAAATAGTCTAGCCCTATATGCCAAATATCCTGAAGGTGGGAAAAAGGATCCTTTCACTGACCTTTTTTTACTTCCTCTTATACCACTCCAGGTGTTAATGAAGAAAGAAAATAACACTTCTTGCTTTTGCTGTTCTTGCCACATGACTATAGACATGTAGCTTGTGGAGTTTCATGTGAGCGCGATATGGGAGGCTGCTGCGAAAGACCGTTCTGGATGACATACGTCCCTCAAGCATGGTGCATCGGCCTGCCAGGCAGCAGAGGTTGCACAGGCAGAGAAACGGAGGCAGACTAGAAAGAATCGTATGGCTAATCCCACACTTACTGCGGCTTCCGCCTGTTGTCCTCACTGCTCTAGAACTTTCCAGGCTCATATTGGACTAATCAGCCACCTTCGTACTCATAATCATTGATCATTACTACTTTAGATGTAAAGTGGTCTTCATCACTCGTGATGGGCAAACAACAGCAAGAGTTCCTCGGATGTAACATTTTCATCTTGTTCCTGGTTTACATCAGGCTCTGCATCCCTTTCCTCTTTTGGTATACAGTAATTAGAGGTGAAGGTGAGAGGATTGACTTCATTGCACAGGGTTTTATCCCTTATGGCTCAGTCTCTTTCCATAGAACAGCTAGCCTCCGTAGCTCTGGCAACAATCGCCTGGGATCTCCGTAAAAACTACACTCGTGAACTGAACGGGGCTGCTGTGAAACGACCCCACGACCTCCAGAGCGGGAGGCAAACGGCTTGACTACTTCACTACAGAGACCTCGTATAAAATAATTAAAGGACCCATTTTACGCTAGTGGCCCGTTTATATCCTGGACTCATAATTAATAGACCAGTTGGCACTCGGTCTAGGTCAACATCATGCTGCTGCCTTTGCTTCCCAGGGTTCTGGGTAAAGGTTTGACAAGTTCATCTTAGCTCCGTCTCCCTCCTGAACAGACAGTGAAGAGTTGCCATACTAATGGTACCCTTTGTCGTCTGGTTAACTACTCGTCTTGCCTTCCTTCTGAGTCTTGAGTTGTGCCCAGAGCCCACAGACGCTCCTGGCTGCATTATTCTCTCCAGGTACGGGTTTTCAGTATCTTCCATTTCACCTTTTACTTTGTCCCCCAGGTTAGAGATTACCGCTGCCTTGTGAAGTTGCAGTGCACCTCCAAATGGGGTCAGTCCTGACAGATCATTCCCAGACACATCTTAACGGCTCAGGAAAAAATATCCCGAAGCTCTGTCTCGTATCCCGTATAGGCTGGGTCGGCATGGACATTCTAAGTGGTTTAACTGTTTTATTTAGTCTATTTATGTATAGTAAAAGCTCTATGTCAACTATTCTCTTATAACTTTATTCTTGATTTTATCTCCGATCATTGCTACAGCCTTTCTCAGACATCTCATTTCCATGGTTACTCATCAGTAAAGCTTGCTCCAGTATGTCTCAGTTTGGTAGATTCTTTCTTCAGAATCATTCATATTCCTTCTCCATAGACCCACTGCCCTCTAATTAGAGGCCATTAACTAGGAGTTTGCTGAATTCAAATGTATTGGGCCAAAAGATGCAGATATCACAGACTAGCTGTAAACTACAACACATTGTGCTTACCGCTCTTTTAAGGGGGAATGCAGAAGAGGAGGAAGATTCATATTCCTTGCCTTATTTACACTACTCTTACACAGTTTCCACACAGTTCCCACACACTTCCTACAAAGCTTCCACACTGTTGCCAGTTAGCTTTCACAGTTCCCACATAGCTTCCACACAGTTCCAACACAGCATCCACAGTTTTCACATAGCTTCCACACAGTTCCAACACAGCATCCACAGTTCCCACATAGCTTCCACACAGTTCCAACACAGCATCCACAGTTTTCACATAGCTTCCACACAGTTTCCACACAGTTCCAACTTAGTTTAAACACAATTTCCACACAATTCCCACATAGCTTCCACACAGTTTCCACTTAGCTTTCACAGTTCCCACATAGCTTCCACACTGTTTCCACTTAGCTTTCACAGTTCCCAAATAGCTTCCACACCACAGCTTTACAGTTTCCAGTTAGCTTTGACAGTTCCCACATAGCTTCCACACAGTTCACACATATCTCCTACACAGTTCACGCATATCTCCCACACAGTTCCCACATAGCTTCCACACAGTTCCCACATAATTTCCGCACAGCTTGCATACAATTCCCACACAGTTCACACATAGCTTCAACACAGTTGCCACATAGCTTTCACACAATTTCTATATACTTTCCACATTGTTCCTACATAGCTTCCACACTATTCCCACATAGTTTCCACACAAGTTCAGCATAGCTTCCACACTGTTCCCACATAACTTCCACACTGTTCTGACATAGCTTCCACACAAGTTCCACCAAGCTTCCACACTGTTCCCACATAGCTTCCACACTTTTCCCACATAGTTTCTTCACTGTTCCCACATAGCTTCCACACTTTTCCCACATAACTTCCACACAGCTTCTGCACAGTGTCTCAATAATCTGCTGACATCTGTGACCACCATGACTTATGTCATTAATCTTGTGTGTGTATGTATACGTTGTTGCAGAACTGTACTACGACAGGGGGAACCACCACGAATTCACGTCATTGGTCAAAGAACTTGCAAGGCCTGGGGAACTGACACAGAGCACTAGTTACAACTTTGAGTTTTCACAGGTGGAAAAGCCCTATGAGTCCTACACAGGTGCCAATGTCCGATTAAGGTGAGGCTAGATGTTTATTATGATAACCGTATTTCCCCAAATATAAGAAAGATCTGTTACCGCGGGAAAGAACTTTTAGTTTTATAATTTTTTTTCCCCATTTTATGTCTGGGATTCTGAAATGAGGCCTGTACAGGATATTTTCTAACAAATCATTTGGTAAAAATCTATCACCATTGTATAAGACGCACAATGTTTTTGGAAAATGGGTGTCTAATACTTGGGGAAATACAGTAAATCATTTTTGATTTATAGAAAACTAGACAACTTCCCTTGAGAGGGCCAGGGCCTCATTTAAGAGGAACAGAATATACTCACTGCTTCCCTAGCCTAATTCGAATACCACTGGCACCTTTCCGTCTTTCCAGACGATAGTGTTATATTGCGTAAAAAGAGGCATGAGACTCTCAGCCCATGGCGATGGCGAGTGAGACTAGCAAGACCCGCCCGTGTCAAGAAGAGTCTTCCACAATGATAGCATGGGATTTCAGGACCATTGTTGTCAACATTTGTGTTTAATCCGTTTTCTTTTCAGACGCTTAGCTCTCATCCTTTCTGCAATCATTTCTTCCTTCACTCTCATTCCCTTCCTGATATACCCTTTCCACACAACACAGTCAATAGCATTTTGTTCCCATGAGTCCACCTTAGTACCTGTATCATTCATGTCCCATTTGCACACATCTTTGTATCATAGTAGAGGTCGTCCTCGACATCTTCTTCCTGTCTTTAATTCACCATAAAGGATGTCCTTAGGGATTCTGCCATCCTCCATTCGTGACCCAGCCACCTGACCCTTCGTAGACAGCATGGAAAAGACTGTTGTAGTAACTGCTCTTTCCAGTACCTCAGCCTAATAAACATATCCCGTGAAAGGCGACTAGTTAAGGTTTACCTAAATTAGACGTGTTGGGCCCCAAGAGAGAGATATCACAGCCTATCTGTATACCACAACTAACATGCTTACTGTCCTTTAAAGGGTGAACACATAAGAAGCTAGACAGCACTTCTTCTTCGCATTCACCGACTGAAAGTTCTGGTTGATCATCCACTTTTGGAGTTTGGTCTTGTTCCAGAACTTGGGTTTTGCACGCATATCTGTTTTACAGATCTGAACTTATTTGTATGCAGACTATTGGTTTTTTTTCTCTCAGGCAGAAGCACTCTGACTTTGAAGGAAACATCTTTAATTCATCAACTTTTACAACATACAAATTTGGACAATAGAGTGTTCTTGTAACCCACATGGTGAAGAAAACAGCTGAAGTGTCCTTACTTATCATGTTATATATTCATTCCAACATTAAGCTACCAGTGCCAAACAGGGACACTATCTGAAGCTCGTATACGCAAAATCACCACCTGCGTGATGAGCTGCCTGAGGAAAGCAGCCAACCTAACCATATGAGATCAAGTGAATAATGAAACTATCAGGCAAATTGTGGGAACCACACCTTGTACTAGATTCATCGAGAAACATTGGATCAGGTGGTTTGGCCATCTCGTTAGAATGCAGCAAGATCAAATACCATCACAAGTGCTACATCTCAGAAGATCAGCTACAAGAGCAAGAGGATGGCCGCGGAAAACAAGAATCGACAACATTAAAGACACTCTACGCCTTCATGGCATGACAATAGTCAGTGGCAGCCAACGTGCACTGGATCGCAAATTATTCCTCCCCACGCCGCTTAATGGCAGAAATGGTTTATGATGATGATAGAATGAAAGCCAAGTATCACATCACCTATTCTTCTTCGTTTTCTCCTCTTCTTCTTCCTTCTTTTCTTCTTCCTTCTTTTCCTCTTCCTCTTTATCCTCATCCTCCTCCACTTCTGTCTCTTCTTTTATTATTCAAGGCCTTGATGTTTCATGGTTTTTCCATGTAGATATTTCCTCCGAGTGACCATCGTCAAACGCATCTCTGACATGGTCAAGGAGCTGGACATTGTTGTCCACACGCTGTCCCAGTACCCTGAGATGAACTCCAGCATTAAGATGGAAGTGGGAATAGAAGACTGCCTACACATTGAGTTTGAATACAACAAGTCCAAGTGAGTCAAGTTCACAAAATTCTTCTTAGACATTTCTTTCAAGATTTGTTTCACTTGACCGTGTTTTTGCTACAAGGGGAAGATACCAGTTTTATCATTGGATGAAGAAATGCAGCCTGAACACTTATTGTTGTAGCAGGGCAGACAAGGCCTTTAGCCTTGGTTGGCAGTTAGTCTAGTAGGAAGCTGTAACAGGCAGGCAGAACTGCTTTTCTGAACTTATGTCTTTTGCCATATGCTTTGTTCCTCCTCCTTCTTCTTCTGCTGCTGCTGCTGCTGCTTCGCTCTCCGGCTGTAAGCTCCTGGCTGTTTATCCATTAGCACTTTGGCAGTGTGCCTGGACCTGAGTTTTGCGTGTACATCCGTTTTACTGGCTTATTTGTGTGTAGTTGGTTGTTCCTTGCGGCAGATGCACTTCGACTTCAAAGGAAGCTCCCAGTTAGTCAACTCTTATGACATGCATTTTTTTTTTGGGTAGGCAATAAGTCTATACTTGTTTTCCCCATAATGGTGCCATGGAACCCTCACGGGGAGCTTTATTCCAGATGTCATCATCATCATCATGTAGCAGGTTCTTTGCAGAATATCGCTCTCAACATGGTCTGCGTGAAAGAAACTCGGTCTCTCGCCAGCTCTCCCACTTCATGCACTTTCATACTAAAGGAGTCATATCCTGTGCCCATCTTCGTGTTGGTCGGCCCCTGCCCTTCCTTCCTGGTACTATGCTTTCTGCTATAATTTTTTCCAATCCGTCGAAATGACCACAATATTTCAGCTTCCGAGATAGGATGCTGTTTATTAGCTAATCTTCCTTGATGTTCAGATATTTCAAGAAGTCAGTATTTCTCCTCTTTTTTGTCCAAGATATTATGAGAATCTTCCAGATGTACTGGTGTTATATTTCCTTTGGAGTTAACAAGGCAAGTTTGATTGAAGGATCATTCTGCATGGGCAGCACATGGACTTTACAATACTCTCTAGGCTTTGAGGTGTGGAGAGGAGGAATTTAACTCTGGCCTTAATCATTATCATCATGGGCCATGATTCCTATGCCTCCCTTTTGCACACTGGAACAGTATTATCTGGAAAAACATACAGGTTCCAAGAAAAGATGCCAGCTCCAACTATCTGCCACTAGATACAGTGTTTCCCGAAAATAAGCCTGGGTCATATAATTTTTTTTTTTTTAAAGCACTGAGGGGGTGGGATGTCTTATTTTTGCTTTTCAGAGACCAAAATCTACATTTAGTCATGTACAGAAGTCTACAAAAATTCGACAATTTTTTTAATTGGGTCATGTCATCTGCTTCTGGTATGTGGTCCTAACTCTCTAGAACCCAAATTCCGGCCTGAGTTTCTTGCGACTACATTGGCCCCAGTCTGTCATTTCCAGCTGTAAAGTTTTCTTTATGTGAGCATTGCTTCTTATATTAAAAAAATTCTGACAAATTGTGCTGGGGCTTATTTTTTTGGGGTAGGTCTTATTTGGGGCGGGGGGGGGGGGGGTGTAGCGGCTAGGCGCTCGCCTGCAGATCGGAAGGTCAAGGGTTTGGGTCCTTATAAGGCCGCACTTTTTTTTTTAAAATGACCTTGGCTTCCTGCTTAACCCAGCCATGAGTGGGTACAGGGTACAGTCCTGGGAAGTAAAGGTGGCCAACAGGATCCTGACCACATCACCCACCAAGTGCTGATTGGTCTATCAAGTACAGGTCTAGCCCTATATGCCCAATAGGTCCAAAGGTGTGGAAAAGGGTCCTTAAATTATTTTCAGGGAGCATGCTACCATGTTGCCGTTCTGGCTATATTGTAGCATTTTCCTGTATCCTGAAGTTGAACTGCATAAACCAAATAGTAGTTCGTATGTTGTTAGGACCTAAATGGGAAGCAAAGAATATTCCACTCTAACTCATCTGGATGTGATACGAGGCAGTTAAAGAGGGTTTGGAAAAAAAAACAACTGGCTTTTCATTCGATAGAAATCTTTAGCTGCAGAATCAGACAAGTCTTGAACATGTCTCTCCAAGGCTGGGCTTGAAATTAAAGTCACAAGGATGAATTTCATTGAAGCTGGTTCTATCTGCTATGGCCTGGTCTCTCTCTACTTCCTGAGAGTGTCACACAAAGCGTGGACTTCCTAGTTCCAGTAACATTCCCAGAAATGTCTCTAAAAACTGCACTTGTGGCTGAATAGCACACCTCTTCTTCTTCTTCTCATCCTCTCTCTCTCCTCTGCCACCACGTCCTGCTCCTACTCCTCTGCCGTCGCGACCTATTGATCCTCCTCCTCCTCTTCATCTTCTTCTGCTGCTGCTACTACTGCTTTCTGTCGCCTAATAAAGCATAGATTTTCAACCAGTTTACGGCAAGCCATTTGACCTGTTTTGAATTTTAGAGCAGAAGGCTTGATCACTGCACCCTTCAGATCCCCCCCTCCCCCCCACCACAAATACCACAGAGCTGGGTGTGAGTTTATAGAGGATCCCTCGGCTCGAACTAAGAATCATCATCATCATCATTCAGCAGTTCCTGTACAAACTGTCAGTCCATCAAGCCACTTTTTCAACCCTATGTGCTTTCATAGTGCTTGTATCCACCTCCACAAAGATCTGTTGCCTCGTTTTCTGGCAGCTGTTCCTTCCTTCGCTATTCTCTCCAGGCAACCATTACATTTAACATGTCTGAAATATCTCAGGGTTCAGATGTATAACATGGCTGAAATATCTCAGGGTTCAGATGTATAACATAGCTGAAATAGCTCGGTTCAGATGTATAACATGGCTGAAATATCTCAGGGTTCAGATGTATAACGGCTGAAATATCTCAGGGTTCAGATGAATAACATGGCTGAAATATCTCAGGGTTCAGATGTATAACATGGCTGAAATATCTCAGTGTTCAGATGTATAACATGGCTGAAATATCTCAAGGTTTAGATGTATAACATGGCTGAAATATCTCAGGGTTCAGATGTATAACATGGCTGAAATATCTCAGGGTTCAGATGTATAACATGGCTGAAATATCTCAGGGTTCAGATGTAAAACATGGCTGAAATATTTCAGGGTTCGGATGTGTAAGAGAGATAACAGAAAGAGGATAATGTATGACTATAATCTCTGGTAGCTTGTATATATAAAGCCTGTGTACATCTTGTGTTGTGATTAATCTTGCTGCGGAAGATACCACTTGAAAGATGTGATCGTTGGCAAGATCTACTTCCTCTTGGTCAGGATCAAAATTCGCTACATGGAGTTGGCCATAGTCCGTAGGGAAACCACCGGGGCAGGTAACTGACCGCATTCTCCACTGACCAGGCATCTGTCAATGTTCAGTAGCTTGTATTTGGTGTTCATTGTATCCCTGGCTGTGTTTTTTTCTTATTATTGTGCCTTCTTTGTGTATCATGGAATCTATTTTTGAGTTGGTCCCTTCTTGTTCACATATTGCAGTGGTTCCCAGTTGCCCAAGACCTGCAGACTTCCTCTTATTTGTTAAGGTCTGCCCTGTACTTCGTACTTTTAAATGTTATACCGAAAAACTTATACATTATAAATATCATAATCACAAAAAGGATAACATTCTAAAGCTCAGATTGTTCAAAAAAAAATTGGGAGTTCTATTCTTTTGAAAAAAAAATTTTATGTTCACAACATGGCTGTGATATTTGTGCTTTTTGGCCAACAAACCTAACTTCTGCAGACATTTGTTGCCCGGGTTAGCCTTGCTGGGATTTTTTTTTTTGGTTGTTGTTGTTGTAAATGATATCATGTACCTCTTAAATTTATTCCAAAGGCCCCACTAGGGCAACAGTTCTCAACCTTTTGATTCACAACCCCATTTTATAAAGGCAGAGTGACCCGCAACCCCATACACTATAGGCTTTTTGATAGAGTTAATGAAAACACATAGGTAATACTTAGATTTTCCTCTGTACAGGACCAGAGAGATGAGTTTTCTCTGTTTGCCTGGTGACCCCACAAAAAACCCTTTGTGACCCCATTTGGGGTCATGGCCCATGGGTTGGGAACTTGTGCCCTGGGGTCTGTGGATCGAAAGTTGAGAAACACTGACAAAGAGGAATATGTTTTAGCATAGGCAGGTTTCTTTCAATATGAAATACTTCTGAAAACTTTGGAGAAAATAAGCATGAATAAGTGTTACATGTTGGGTGGTGAGCATATTTTATCATATTAACTGTTGTAATATATGTTTTTTGTTGTTGCTCATTATATTGTGTTAGCATTAGGTTGTACATATGGGCTTCTCAAAGCGGAGGTTGACCCCCCTAGCGGTGTCTTATATGTGTACTGAGGTCAGATAAATGTGCCATGGATATCTCATAAATATAAATATACTTGCGGTTGTTCCATAAATGTGCTGGGGGTGTCTAATAAATGTACTGTGGATGGGGCGGGAGTTATCTCAAGAATGTACTTGAGGGTTTTTCTCATAAATGCACTAGATATCTCATTAATTTACTGTGATATCTCATAAATGTACTGGTGTATGACATATGTGTCGCAGGGTCACAAGGATTGTCACATATATTTGTTGGGGACGTCACATTTTATTGGAGGTGTCACATAAATGTCCCAGAAATGCCTCACCGGGATACGTTAGATGTATCAAAAGTGTAATTAGGAGTAGCAGACACATTTGCTAATGTGTTTTTATTGTAATAAGTAAACATAGTCTTAATGCTTTCTGATTAGGGCTAGTGCACAAAACTTTGCTTAAAAGGGGTCACAGGAGAGGAAAGTTTGAGAAGCCCTCTTGAAGACTTGAGTAAACTGTGTTTTTATCATTACATAGTGTGAGTGTATTTATGTGTGTGACACTCATACATACATACAGGAAGTCCAGTAAGTTACTATACATAGAACAGATAAACATATCACTACTTAACGCTCTTACGCTCGTAACTCCAACTGTGTTTATATGTTTTATTTAGCAGTTTACACGCATCAGAATGTGTTCTAAAAACACACTGTATAAATAAAACAGTTTTCATAACAAATATTTATTTGTCCAATGTATGGTAATTTCAGGGACTTCCAGGTTACATACTGTTGTAAACTATATGTTTTTAATTCATTCAATTAACATATATTTTTTGCCAAATACTGTTGTAATGCCCCGGCTTTCTGTTGATTATCTTGTGCCTGTTTGACTTGGCTTCCAGATTTCACTTAAAAGATGTGATAGTTGGTAAAATTTACTTCATTCTGGTGCGAATCAAAATCAAGTATATGGAGCTGCAGGTGATCAAACGAGAGACCACTGGCTCAGGTACTTTCACACTGACAGGTATACTGACACACAGACAAACACACGCTTGCTCAGATACGTGCGATTTCGTCCATTCTGCCGAGTCTGTTTTTTTCCCTTGCGATGGCTTGTGAAGATGCTTACGGCTGGGTTGCATTATCTGGCTTTTTTATGTGTGTATTCTTGATGCTTCTGCATGGCAATTAGCCATTACATTACAGTTTGTTGTTAAAAAGAGAAAACGGAAGTATTATGTCAGCTTCAGAAATTGTTTTTGGGGGATAAATGGGGCTGGCAAGATATATTCATATATACATCATCTTTTCCACATGTGGGTTCCAGGGCCCTATAGTGGGCAAGCAAGAATAGACCCACTACCTCCCTAACAAGCATTTCATAAGAGTTGACTAATTAGGGGTTTCCTTCAAAGTTGGAGTGCATCTGCCTGAGGCAAGGAACTAGCAGTCTGCATGCAAACCAGCCAGATCTGTGAAACAGATTTGCACGCAGCGCACAAGTTCTGGAACAAGAGTAAAGTCTAGAAGTGGGTGAAGGATTAGAACTTTCCACTAGAGTTTTCAGACGATGAATGCAAAGGAGAAGACATCATCTATGAGTTCTTCTTCCACCTCCTTTTCTTCTTCTTCTTTTTCTTTTTCTTCCTCTTCTTCTTTTTCTCCTTTCTCTTCTTTTTCTTTTTCCTCTTCTCCTCCTCCTCCTCATTCTTCTTCTCCTCTTTCTCCTTCTTCTTCTTCTTCTTCCTCTCCTCCTCCTCCAGTTGCTGCTGCTATGCATATGGCATAGTCTGATAAAGTGAATAACATACGTAAGGTATATATAGTATAGATGACTCATTTCATTGATAAGTATGACATGAAGTATTCTATAGCCAGCTGTATTGAACATTGTAACTCAGTGTATCAGTTCATAATGGGGTACTCTACAGGAGCTGTACAGCGTCACAGAGGTAGTCTTTGGCTGTTCTCACAGTTGCGCTTTTAGCGCTTTTGAAGTCACTTGACAGTTGCGCTTTTGAAGTCACTTGACAGTTGCGCTTCATGTGCTTTTGAAGTCACTTGACAGTTGCGCTTCATAGTGCTTTTGAAGTCACTTGACAGTTGCGCTTCATAGTGCTTTTGAAGTCTTTTTGTTTTGTAAAAATTTTATTTATATTGCTGCTTTTGTGTGTGTTGTATTTAAAATTGCAATTTTTTGGTACTTTTATTGTTAGTTTAGTAGTCATCTGCCTATTTGTTGTAGTTTTGTTATTTAAGTTGTTTTTTGCTCACTTGTTGTAGTTTTGTTGTTTGCTTTGTAGTCATCTGACTACTTGTTATAGTTTTGTTGTCATCTGACTACTTGTTGTAGCTTTGTTGTCATCTAACTACTTGTAGTCTTGTAATTAATTTGTTCGCCATCTACCCATTTGTTGTAGTTTTGTTATCATTTGACTGCTTGTTGGAGTTTGGTTACTAGCTGTTATCTGCCCACTTGTTGTAGCATATGTTGCGTATAATGTCTGTTTATTAAGATACAACAAACATTCTGATTATACTAAAATTGTAGTTAAAAGTAAAATAGTAAAAAAAAGGGATTAAAGGAGTCACTGTAAGACCTCACAACATCATACCAAGAGAGATTAAAGGAGTCACTGTAAGATCTCACAACATCATACCAAGAGAGATTGAAGGAGTCACTGTAAGATCTCACAACATCATACCAAGAGAGATTGAAGGAGTCACTGTAAGATTCCACAACATCGTACCAAGAGAGATTGAAGGAGTCACTGTAAGATCTCACAACATCCTACCAAGAGAGATTGAAGGGGTCACTGTAAGATCTCACAACATCGTACCAAGAGAGATTGAAGGGGTCACTGTAAGATCTCACAACATCGTACCAAGAGAGATTGAAGGAGTCACTGTAAGATCTCACAACATCGTACCAAGAGAGATTGAAGGGGTCACTGTAAGACCTCACAACATCATACCAAGAGAGATTAAAGAAGTCACTGTAAGACCTCACATCATACCAAGAGGGATTGAAGGGGTCACTGTAAGATCTCACAACATCATACCAAGAGAGATTGAAGGGGTCACTGTAAGATCTCACAACATCATACAAAGAGAGATTGAAGGAGTCACTGTAAGACCTCACAACATCATACCACGAGGTATTAAAGGAGTCACTGTAAGACCTCACAACATCATACCAAGAGAGATTGAAGAAGTCACTGTAAGATCTCACAACATCATAGCACGAGGTATTGAAGGAGTCACTGTAAGACCTCACAACATCATACCAAGAGAGATTGAAGGAGTCACTGTAAGACCTCACAACATCATACCAAGAGAGATTGAAGGAGTCACTGTAAGACCTCACAACATCATACCAAGAGAGATTGAAGGAGTCACTGTAAGACCTCACAACATCATACAAAGAGAGATTGAAGGAGTCACTGTAAGACCTCACAACATCATACCAAGAGAGATTGAAGGAGTCACTGTAAGACCTCACAACATCATACCAAGAGAGATTGAAGGAGTCACTGTAAGACCTCACAACATCATACCAAGAGAGATTGAAGGAGTCACTGTAAGACCTCACAACATCATACCAAGAGAGATTGAAGGAGTCACTGTAAGACCTCACAACATCATACCAAGAGAGATTGAAGGAGTCACTGTAAGACCTCACAACATCATACAAAGAGAGATTGAATGGGTCACTGTAATTACATTGATATATTATATATTTGTGATAGCATCCTGAAAAAAGTCTTGCAAGGACTAAATTATGACATGTGATAATACATGGTACTGGTTAGAATGACAGTATAATGTCCTGACAAAATATTTATATTAGGTCCTCTTTTGTCATTTGCTTTAAATCATCCCGTACCAGGAATTTTGTTTCTTGCATGAACTATACTATCCTCTGCGTTTGTTGTTTGCTTATATGTAGTTTGATATCTTGGGTTCCTTTATTGGCCATAGATCTTTCTGAGGTTTGCATGGTTTCTTCTCCGTTTCTCTTGCATTCACCGGCTGTAAACTCCAGCAGAAAGATTTTGTTATTCACCCACTTCTGCACTTTTTTGTCTTGTTCCAGAACTTAGAGTTTTGCCTTCAAATCCGTTTTACAAATGTGGCTTATAAGCAGACTGTTGGTTCCTCCCCTCTCAGACAGATGCACTCCAACTTTGAAGGAAACATCCCTTATTAGTTGATGTTTATGACCTGCTTCTTAGAGGGGCAGAGGGTCTGTTCTCTTCCCTCCCCCTCCTCCCCCACAACAACAACAACAAAAAATGTTGCTCCAGAACTCACAAGGGGAGCATGATGCAGCAAAGCCAGGCATATGATATCACAATGTCTAGTTTGAAAATGGAGGTGGAGGCAGTCACTGCTGCCTTCGGCTGGCTTGAGAATTGGCTGTACACACATGCTGTGATAGTCACTGACTCGCAGAGCATGTTGAGAAAGGTGGAGACAGGCATGCAGAGTGGAAGGCATCAATTCAGAGGTCCCGGGTAGTTAGCATCCTTTAGATATTTTCTACAGGTCATGCCAGTGTGTTCGGAAATGAGCAGGCAGATAGACTGGCCAGTTCTGCACCGTTTGGTGATGGACTGATGTTTGACAAGCTGGATGTTGTGAGGGCTCCTTGGAAGCAATTGAACAGTGCAGAGGCACAGATAGATTATTACAGTCTGGGGAGAATGGCGCTGAACACTCAGGGGAAGGCGAGACAGATGTACAGTCAGACAGTTATTGGTGCCATCGAAATTGGAACTCTTCTCTTGCTGCTGAGGATGGAAACGGAGCGCTTATAAGGGTGTCCCGAGTGCTGTGATATTGATGCTTAATTCAACAAGAGGAGCATGGGCTGTCAGAAGATATACAATTGTTAGAATATTATTTCTTATATGTATCTTACACACAGTTATGGAAACTGCAGAATTTCTGCCCATGTCATTCATTACGATTATCATGTGTAAAGCCAGTTACTTCACAAAATACACAGAATTTGTACCAATACTTCACAGAATACACAGAATTTGTACCAATTTTATGAAATGTCTGGTTTTAAGGATAGGGTATTACATTGTGTGTGTGCGTGTGTGTGTGTTGGTGCGGGAGGGCTCCTTGGAAGCAATTGAACAGTGCAGAGGCACAGATAGATTATTACAGTCTGGGGAGAATGGCGCTGAACACTCAGGGGAAGGCGAGACAGATGTACAGTCAGACAGTTATTGGTGCCATCGAAATTGGAACTCTTCTCTTGCTGCTGAGGATGGAAACGGAGCGCTTATAAGGGTGTCCCGAGTGCTGTGATATTGATGCTTAATTCAACAAGAGGAGCATGGGCTGTCAGAAGATATACAATTGTTAGAATATTATTTCTTATATGTATCTTACACACAGTTATGGAAACTGCAGAATTTCTGCCCATGTCATTCATTACGATTATCATGTGTAAAGCCAGTTACTTCACAAAATACACAGAATTTGTACCAATACTTCACAGAATACACAGAATTTGTACCAATTTTATGAAATGTCTGGTTTTAAGGATAGGGTATTACATTGTGTGTGTGCGTGTGTGTGTGTTGGTGCGGGAGGGAGGGAGGGAACTATCTTAATTGTACACACCAGTGGGAAAGGAAATAAAAGAGCCGACAGACTGGCCGTGCCTGCAGTAGTAAGTGAAGGAAGAAGTCATACATGGCAGGCATACTGAATGCACCGAGTTCCAGAGGCATTGAGACAAAATAGAGACCATGAACCACCTTTTAGAATTGGTGTTAAACGAGGACATGCATTCAGAAACTGGTTGCAGGGGTATATTATAATAGTATAGTATAGTATAGTCTGTACTGCGTTATCATCCTCCTTCTTAAGCCACTAGATATCATTTTTTTTTAAACGGATGTTATCACAATCAACGTTTTTGGACATTGTGCATCCCTATGCGTGCTCAGTCCTCCGATGCAACACCCACTCAAAATTACCTCTGCTGATTGTTCCCATGAGGAGTAAGTTATAGTATTTCCTTCTTTACTTCGAAGACGGCTTAGACGTGCTTCACCAAGCTTAACCCCTCGGTCGTGTTAGTGTCATAGATTCATCATTATTCCCCAACCTCGTTCGTACACTGTTGATGATATCAGCTCGGTCCAGGCTCCTTCCTTTTTGCATTGGTGCATCACTTACCAGTTGGTCAGCACTTTCCTTACCCTTTACTCCTGCGTACCCAGATGTGTAGATTCAGATGAAGGATGTCGACTTCTGAATGCTTTCTACCCATTCCGAGTGTAGACTACCTGTAGCGATTTTTAAAATGTGAACAACTCTGGCACTTGCAGATTTCTGATAATGGGTATGTTGATTTTCAGGGCCGAACACATTCAACGAGAATGAAACGATAGCAAAGTATGAAATCATGGATGGAGCACCTGTCAGAGGTATGTCATATAGCGTTTAGCATCAGTCATCTCCTGGAGTCCTTTTACTGCTACCTCTTTTTCTTTTTTTTTTTTTTACTTTTACTGTTTTTTATCCTCTTCTTTTCCTCCTCTTTTGGGGTCTTTAACCCTTTAAGCCCCTAATAAGCATTTCTTCAGATTTTTACCCAGTTTGTGACCCTTTTAAAATAATGTGTTTTCATTTGTAATTCTGTCTTAGGTATCTGTTGCCTCGACTGATAATAACCTGAGTATGCAGTTCTTTTACTTCAGTTGTAACAAATGCCATTGAAAGGTAGAGAACGACTAAAGACATAGAACAAAAGTTAAATGCATTTGAAAACAAATGTTTGGTGACAATATTGAACATTTAACTTTATACAAAGGAAGGTTAAAAACATTGAACATAAAATGGGATGAATTAAGATGGGTAAACACAACAGAAATGTCTGAGCAGCCATCATTAACAACATTATAAGTTAAAGAACACACGCTGTATTGGACACGTCCTGAGAAGAAACTTGATCAGAGAACCATCGGACAGACATGGGAAGTAAAGTGATTGAGGAAGCAAGGACGTTCAAAAGGATCTCCAAAACGAATGTTGATGAGAGAGTCAAAAGGTGCTGGGCCAGATTCCATCCATGATATCAAGTGGTTGCACAGGTTAGACGGGAATGGACGAATAGACTTCGAGTCCTACGTAACATATGATGACACAACAGGTCAATTTTGATTATGACGGTGATTCAAATAATTCCATTATAGGCACAACATGTTGAAGTAACAACTGGAGTAGAATAATTTAATACTACAGCTGGTAAAGGCACCAGAAGTTGACTAGAAAGGCTTCAGATGTTGACCAGAAAGGTGCCAGAAATTGACTAGAAAGGTTCCAGAAGTTGACCAGAAAGTCATCAGAAGTTGACCATGAAGAAACCAAAAATTGGCTAGAAAAGTGCCAGGAGGACCAGAAAGGCACCAGAAGTTGACTTGCCTGACGTTGACCAGAAAAGCACTAGAAGTTGACCAGAAAGGCACCAAAAGTTGACCAAAAAGGCACCAGAAGTTAAACAGAGAGGCACCAGAAGTTGACTCCCTAGATGTTGACCACAAAGGCAATAAAAGTTGATTAAAATATATCTTATAAGAGAGCCCTCATAAACACATGGTGAGTTGCTTGGGGCGCAATTTCTGGAAGACAAGAACCTCAGCAGATGTGGATAGAAGACATTAAAGATGCATTGGTAGTGAAAGCACATAGGGGTGGTGTCAGGTTCCTGTGTTGCTATGAGATGATTGCTTATGATGATGATAAATAGTAAACTTGTGACTGAAAAAAAGTGATGAAGAAAAGGGTTTTCCTATGAGGGTTGTTCAGTAATAAGCGGTGCTGGAGTTGGAGAGAGGAAGACTTGGGGACAAGACGGTGTTGTTTTGACCGTTAGATATTTTCTATGTTTTGACTTATATTAGCGACAGGTAGCTTAATATTAGTGTGTTAGCGTGACGGTAGGATGATTCATGTGTTAGTCTGTGTTAACATGAGGGGTTATTACTTTTATTTGTAATAGTATTCATTTATGTATTTAGTTAGAGGGGGGTCAGTGAAGAGTGGATCTGGTTACGTGATATGGTCTGTCCACTCACACTGGCCAAAGACGTGCAGTAGCACAGTAGTCCTAGTGAAAGGCGCAGTAGCGTCAGAAAGAGCATTAAGGGAGTCTGTTGGTACGGACCCTGGTCACAGCTATAAGGCCGGTATGGTACTGTAGGGGCAGGTGGGTGACTGGGTTGGTTAATGTGAACCACTTTCGCCCAGTTGAACTGTTGCATTGATTTTTTTGAATTGCTTTAAAGACTGGTGTGTATGCCACGGTGTTGGTTGATTGTGTTGAGGATTGGACCTTTTCTGTCATGGAGGAGGGTGTGGGGAGAATTGGCTGGAGAAAGAGAGACTTTCAGGCATGCCGTGGTGAGAGCGATGTTCTGCAAAAGACCCGATGAACCGTGATGAATTGCTTCAATAAATGGGACTGTCCATGTGTTACCAGGCTGAATCAGGAAAGTAAAGAACAGCACTGTAGTCTATGATGCATGTCCTAAGAGGCGACTCACAAAGGTTACCATAGGGGCTGGATACCCTATGCGTAGGAAACTGTAATTGCAGAATTCAAGCAGCTGTTAAAATGTCTCAATCCCTGTGTTAGTTACCGGGCCTTATTTTCGGAAAAGAAAAGGCTTGTTATAAAAGGTAACTAACTAATTAGGGGGGTTTCCTTTGAAGACAAAGTGCATCTGCCTGAGAGGCAAATAACCAACAGTCTGCCCACAAATAAACCAGATCTGCAAATGGATGTATTGCAGACAATGCTCAAGTTCTGGAACAGGACCACATTTTTAGAAATTGATGAACAAAGAGAGGTTTCTGTCAGAATTTTCAGTTGGTGAACCTGAAAAAGAGAGAGAAGAAGAAAAAGAAAACCTTCAAAAGAAAAAAGAATAAAGAATAAATTAACACCTTGCTATATCGCAGCTTTCCTCCAACCATACCCAGCGAAATCCTATTTGAAACCTATTTTATGTGTCAAATGTCACTTATGCCACATTGCAGGTGAGTCAATACCAATTAGACTCTTTCTGAGTGGATACGAACTCACGCCTACCATGAGAGATATTAACAAGAAATTCTCCGTCAGGTATTATCTGAATTTGGTCTTAGTGGATGAAGAGGAGAGGCGCTACTTCAAACAGCAGGTATGTCAACTTGTCATTTCCATGTTCTTGTAGACTTTTGGCATTACCTACATTTTCTTGTAGAGGTTTGGAACTTTCTACATTTTCCTGTAGGCTTTTGGCATGATCTGCATTTCTTTTAGACATTTGGCATGATCTATATTTCTTGTAGGCTTTTGGCACTGTCTGCATCATCTCTAAATTTTCTTGTACATTCTGGCATGATCTGCATTTTCTTTTAGACTTTTGGCATTACCTACAATTTGTTTGAGACTTTTTAGTATTAGTTCTTCTAGACTTTTGATATTCACTGTATTTTCTTTTAGACTTTTGGCATGATCTACAATTTCTTTTTAGACTTTGCATGATCCACATTTTCTTTTAGACCCTTGGCATGATCTATATTTCTTCTAGGCTTTTGGCACTGTCTACATTATCTTAAATGTTTTGGCATGATCTACATGTTCTTTTAGACTTTTGGCGTTATCTACATTTTCTTTTAGACTTGGTATTATCTACATTTTCTTTTAGACTTCTAGCGTGATCTACATTTTCTTTTAGACTTGGTATTATCTACATTTTCTTTTAGACTTTTGGAGTGATCTACATTTTCTTTTAGACTGTTGGCATAATTTGCATTGTCTTGGTGACTTGGTATGATCTACATTTTCTTGTTGATTTTTGGCGTGATTTTCATTTTCTTGCAGTCTTTTGGTGCTATCTACATTATCTTGTAAACTTTTGGTATGATCTACACTTTGTCTTTTAGTATAATCTACATTTTCTTGTAGATTTTTGCCACTATCTACTTTATCTTATAGGCTTTTGGCACAATCTACATTTTCATCATGCACTTATTTCCTGTCTATTTTGTGATATTATTTTCTTTTGTCTCTGTTTTTATAGAGTTTTTGTTTTTGTCCACGGAAAATGTATTCCATTGAAGGCTTTACTATAGTCATGTTTATTTATTACCCTTTTTATGTCTTTACATCATCTTCTTCTTCGCGTTCACTGGCTTTAAACTCCGGCAGAAAGCTGTGATTGTTCGTCCATGTCTGGACTCTAGTCCTGTTCCAGAAACTGAGTTTTACGTGTACATTTGTTTCACAGGTCTGATTCATCTGCATGCAGACTGTTGGTTCCTTGCCTCTCAGGCAGATGCACTCCGACTTTGAAGGAAGTCCCCAATCAGTCGACCCTTACGACATGCTTTTGGACAGGCAGTGGGTCTGTTCTTGTTTTCTCCACAATGGGGCCCCGGAACCCCCACAGGGATGTCTTTATATATTTTGTAGGGGAAAAAAATGGTAAAATGTAGATTTTAATATAGCTGTTTTTTTCAAGCATTTTTCCATAAATTCCCATGGGTTTATGACCATTTTTGTTTCGCCTTTGCGGGCTGAGAGGGTACAAAAACATAGGCTGATCAAATTGTGAATTGAATCAGGTCTGTATTTTAGACCTAGATGTAACCTCTAAGCACTCGGCTCTCCTACAACTCCATACTAACTCTTTCCTTGACACTGAAACTCATACTGACTGACTCATACACACCTACTCTCAGTCTGTCTCCTCACTCTCTCATACCGACAAACACCCACTAATAGGCTGTCAGTCGAGGTTCTAACTTCATCACCATATATGAAATGTCAAACAGCCCAGCAAAATCTAACAGCTTGCACATGCATCAGTGCACACAGCAGCTACTTGAGGTGCCAAAACCACCGGTCTGTCACTGGAATTGCTATTCATAGTTAATGGAAATGCAGTCATGACAGATCAGCAGCTGCACACATTACTACATTAGACAAACTGCCAGTTTTGTAGCAACCTACCACTCATCTTCTTCACTTCCTCTTTTACCGCTATGGGTGTCGAGGGAGATATAAGGTTCTGTCTCTAGCTCTTCTGGCCGCCTCGACCATAGGCACATCGTGCTGTTGTAGAGTTTCTCTGATGTTATCTTTCCAGATTGTTCTTGGTCTACCTCGTGCTCTAAGTCCTTCTTCCCTTTCCATGTATGCTTTGTATGGTATGGTGTCACAAGGCATTCTCTCTAAGTGGGCAAACCATTTCACTTGCTGTCTTGGTATGTAATCCAGAATTGGTTCTGTGCCGACTTTTTCTCTTATGATCTCATTTCTGATCTTATCTCTTATGGTCACTCCTACAGCCCTTCTCAGACATCTCATTTCCATGGTTACTAATTTTCTTTTATGGTTTGTTGTGAGTGACTTGGTAGCACAGAGTTGGAATAAATATGCTTTGAATAAGATGTTTCTTTGTGCTGATTGGGATTGTCTTATGCTGTAAGAGGGGGGCTAGCTGTCCCAATACTTGGTTTGCTTTATTGCATCTAATGTTAATTTCTTTATCCAATTTCCCATCTTCGGTTAATGTAGTTCCCAGATATTTAAACTCAGATGCCTGTTTAATGCCTTTGCACTCTATTGCTATGTTTAGATCTGTCTTCTTTTTTCCTATTGACATTACTTCTTTCTTTTCAGTGTTGATTCTCATATTATTTGTTTTACATTCTTCATTCATGAATGTTAGATGTTGTTGCAATTTCATGGCTGTATCTGCTATCAAGGCCTGGTCATCTGCAAAGAGTAATTCGTTGATCTTACTAACGTTCTAATTCCTGGGCTTGGCATTCTTGCATATACTGTCGATGTATGTGATAAACAGCAGTATTGATAAGACACACCCCTGTCTTACTCCAGATGTTACTGTGAATGGATGAGATTTCCCCTGATTTATTCTAACTACACATCTACAATCCCTGTATAAACTTGTGCACACTTCGATGAGGTGTTCGCTTACTCCATATCTTGCCATTACTTTCCATAATAATTGTCTGTCGACTCTGTCAAATGCCTTCTCCTGGTCTACGAATGCCACAAATAAGTTCTTAAGTTCTTATTGTATTCAATGTTCTTTTCTATTAACTGTTTAAGTGTGAAGACCCACTCATCATTTTCTGAATATGCAGTTCTCTCTCTCTCTCTCTCTCTCTCTCTCTCTCTCTCTCTCTCTCTCTCTCTCTCTCTCTCTCTCTCTCTCTCTCTCTCTACTCATACACACACACCTACACTCTCATTCTGTCTCTTACACACAAATATCCTCTTACTGACTCCCACAGACATACACTCACTGTGTCACTTTCTTACAACACATACTCTCTCACAGACACACACCCACTGTGTCAATGTCTTACACACGTACTCTCTCACAGACATACACTCACTGTGTCACTGTCTTACACACGTACTCTCTCACAGACACACACCCACTGTGTCACTGTCTTACACACGTACTCTCTCACAGACACACACCCACTGTGTCACTGTCTTACACACGTACTCTCTCACAGACATACACCCACTGTGTCACTGTCTTACACACGTACTCTCTCACAGACACACACCCACTGTGTCACTGTCTTACACACGTACTCTCTCACAGACACACACCCACTGTGTCACTGTCTTACACATGTACTCTCTCACAGATATACACCCACTGTGTCAATGTCTTACACACACACTCTCTCACAGACCCACTGTGTCAATGTCTTACACACATACTCTCTCACAGACCCACTGTGTCAATGTCTTACACACATACTCTCTCACAGACATACACTCACTGTGTCAATGTCTTACACACATACTCTCTCACAGACCCACTGTGTCAGTGTCTGACACACATACTCTCACAGACATACACTCACTCACTGTGTCAGTGTCTGACACACATACTCTCTCACAGACATACACTCACTCACTGTGTCAATGTCTGACACACATACTCTCTCACATTCACTCACTCACTGTGTCAGTGTCTGACACACATACTCTCTCACATACACTCACTCACTGTGTCAATGTCTGACACACATACACTCACTCACTGTGTCAATGTCTGACACACATACTCTCTCACAGACATACACTCACTCACTGTGTCAATGTCTGACACACATACTCTCTCACATACACTCACTCACTGTGTCAATGTCTGACACACATACTCTCTCACAGACATACACTCACTCACTGTGTCAATGTCTGACACACATACTCTCTCACAGACATACACTCACTGTGTCAATGTCTGACACACATACTCTCTCACATACACTCACTCACTGTGTCAATGTCTGACACACATACTCTCTCACAGACATACACTCACTCACTGTGTCAATGTCTGACACACATACTCTCTCACAGACATACACTCACTCACTGTGTCAATGTCTGACACACATACTCTCTCACATACACTCACTCACTGTGTCAATGTCTGACACACATACTCTCTCACAGACATACACTCACTGTGTCAATGTCTGACACACATACTCTCTCACAGACATACACTCACTGTGACAATGTCTGACACACATACTCTCTCACAGACATACACTCACTGTGTCAATGTCTGACACACATACTCTCTCACAGACATACACTCACTGTGTCAATGTCTGACACACATACTCTCTCACAGACATACACTCACTGTGCCACTTTCAAGTGTAGTCCTGAGAAGTAAAGGGGAGGCCGGTGTCATGTTGACCACATTACTCATTAAGAGCTGGTTGGTCTAAAATATTGGTTTAGCCCTAAATGTCCAATATGCCGAAAGTCGTGAAAATGGTCTTTTACTGTGTTTGTGTGTGTTTTGTTATAACTTTTACTGTGTTTTGTTATAACTTTTACTGTGTTTTGTTATAACTTTTACTGTGTTTTGTTATAACTTTTACTGTGTTTTGTTTTAACTTTTACTGTTTTTTGTTTCAACTTTTACTGTGTTTTGTTAAAACTTTTACTGTTTTTGTGTGTGTTTTGTTATAATTTTTTACTGTTTTTGTGTGTGTGTTTTGTTAAAACTTTTCCTGTGTAGCCACAAACCTTTTGGCTCTTAACACAGTATTACCAATACATTGTTAAGCAGTGATCATCAGAAAGCCATTTTTATACACATTGACTTGAAAACAGCCCAATCTGATAAGTCACAGATTTGCAAAATCTCGCCTGTTCTTTTTCAGGAAATCACCATATTCAGACGAGCTGACAAAGTCCGAAAAAACTATCAAGCAGCTCTTTCCCATCACAACCCCTCTCTGTTATCTGACGGCAGTAGCGGTAGCAAGTCCCCCGGCCAGCCACAGCCCCTGCAGCAGGAGGGTGACGAAGGAGACAAGGACAGAGAGGAGAAAAAAGATGAGGAGGATGGAGAGAAAAGTTAACTGCAGTGAATGTGTTTTGTTTGTTGATATAGCTTGTCAGCTCCTGTCCCTCCTGAGCTTGTTCAGATGGCATATGAGTCTCATTTGGTCTCAATTTCCAGTGAGGACCTGTACATTTTATTATCGCTGTAATTTTTGTATAGAATGTTTTAAAGATGTCACTGTACATTCACTCGGCCCCCCTTTCCAGAAGAGTTCTCAAAGGGCAGGTAAGCCCAATACATTTTTCATGAGATGTTCTGTTGTGATAAATGTGAAATGGTTTTTTTTTTTTAAATTTTGCTGCACACTAGTCATTTTGTGCACACCAAGGGAAAGTGCGGTGCAGGGATGGGTGTTCGGTGCATAGTAAATGTGCACACTTTGGGGTTGTCAGTGCACTTTATCTTGCCATGTGCTCACCATGGGGTTTTGAGTGCTCTTAATTTTCATTATGTGCACAGTGGTATTGCCATTGCCAACCATGGGGTTGCCATTTCACACCACGGGGTTGTCATTGCCTGTTAACCTGGCCAGGTATGCACACTGAGGTATCTGTGCATATTAATCTGATCATGCACACCATGGTGATGTCAGTACACATGATTAATCTGGTCCCGCACACAACCAGTCGGGTTGCCAGTTCTTTTATGCCCACCCTGGAGTTATCAGTGCACACTAGTCATTTTGTACATACCATGAGGTTGACAGTGCATGCTAGTCTTTTACACACCACTGTGCACACTATTTTATGTGCACCCTGGTATTGTAATTGCAAACCAGTCTCTTAATGCACACCAGTGGTATTGTCAAACCATACTGGATCCTGTTGTTTACAACTTTCTTCTTCACAGGAAATGTTACAAGTTAGAGAGGAGATAACAAGCGAATGTGCTGTTTGTTTCCACTTCCTTTTCTTCAACAATTCACGCCCTGGAAATTCATTGATGCAGATTTCACCCACCTCCATTCATGTTGTTTGTTTACAAAAAAAAAATCCAGGCAGGAAGGTCTGCTTGTTTGTCCACTTCTGGGCTTGGGTTTATTCCAGGACCTAAGCTTTGATTGTGCAACTGCAGGCCGCAGACCGTCTTGCATTGCTTTCGACAGTGGTATCAGAAAGCAGTTGTAAACTCTGAATGTAAATGTGCATTAGAAGAAAATGCAACAGCCACAAAATGATAGCGTTGGTTCTGCAATGTTCTGTAAAGGATACGCAGCTAACTTTCCATCATTTACCACATTAATACTAGCTCCACAACCAGCGAACAAGAGGAAACTGGGCTGCTTTACGACATCAGCAATCGGACGAAGGATAGAAATTATCGTTTACCACTGTTCGATTCCTGTGTTGACTGGTTTTATACAAATGACCCTTCTCTTGGCTTTCAGACAGTGGTATGAGAGGGTCACCATAGAAGAGCCTGGGGTTTCAGCATAAAACTTGCTGCAGCCAGCCTTGATTGTGAAGATGGCACCGTTGTTTCTTATCATACCGAACTGAACATTGAGATTAAGCATTGTATCAGCTGTAAAGAATTGAGAGAGGTCGTCCTTGTTTTGTTGTCGTCAAATCTGATGTATATACTAGGCGGTACTGATCTGTTACTACCGCGTCTTTTGTACATTGTCTGTGCTAGCTGATAACTTTTATGAACATGTATGTATGTATGTATGTATGTGATGGTATGATGATGTATGTACTTAATGTTTTTTCATATTTGTTGTTAACCTAGTGACCAGGCTTTGTATGTTGCCAGAAAATAGGGGTTCTTTATATTAACTGGGGGGAAAAAAACAGGGATCTGTATGTTGACTGAAAAACAGGGATCTTGAAGTTACCTGCAATTAAAAGATCAAGTTATTGCCGGTCAGTTGTCTAAGTGGCTCTATGAGACTGGTTTAGAGGGGCATAACCAAACATTGTCAATTTTTTGTAAGAAATTTATAAGAAATCACCTTTGATCACTGGCATCATGAGAGCCAATAGACTGAAATTGTTGGGGCATATTGAAAGAATGTCAGATGACAGAGAGGTTAAAACTGTATACACAAGGGAGATGAATGATCGTTGACCATGAGGCAGACCAAGAAGACTATGGAGAGATAATGTCCAGTCAGACCTGCAAACACTTGGTGTCACCAACTGGAAAGAGAAGGCGAACCAGAGAGATGAGTTGAGGTGGGTGATATCTGCAGCAATGAACCTCAAGGGCTCGGAATGCTGAAGAAGGAGAAATCTGTTGGCTTAAATCAAGGATGTGATAACAAGCAGAAATCAGTATATCCATTCACATTTGTTGATAATGTTGGCTGAGTTTCTTTGTGGCTTCACAACTGAGTATCTATATAAGGACCTGACTACACTTGTCTTCATATTTATTTTTGTGTGTTTTATTAAGCTGACATGAATCTGTACCATTCCATTAGTCAGGTGTTTTGTTTTCCTGTAATGGATGAGCTATGCTGTTGCGATTAGACATAAAAATAACTGTTCTTCATTAATATCCTACCCCAGATGACGTCACAGGACAGTCCAACAATTTTAAGGGTGGTAAGGCTGGGTTTGCCGGCTTTCTAATGCTTTTAACGATTGCAAAACATCTAGAACTGGCCCTAACCCACCTTTGTACAACGAAAGAGTGCAGCCTAGGTCTCACGGCTGCATACGGCCTATCTACCACCCCCTGAAATATTAGACTGTCCCGTGACCTGTGGATTTCCCCTGTTTGGGGTAGGATATTAATAAAGCACCCAAAAAAACTATGATCACCTATTGTATGTGCATTTCTGTTAAGATTTTGTCCAGCATTTGAGTTCCCCAGCCAGATTATGAATGCCTTTGTTTCAGCAAAGAAAAAACAATATGTACAACAGTGTTATGAGCTGTGACAAAGATAGAATTGGCCAGGCAGGGAAAGAATTATGGCTACACATTAAAGCTTTAATCAGTTTACAGGGATTGATTAGCACTTGTAGGAGGAAGAGTATAGTGAATATACTCGACACTGAAAGTTATAGGCACACCAGGGTTTGACTCTGCAGCCTCAAACTGATCACTTAGGACAGGGGAGTAACATGTAGCACTATAAGTTTGTCATGGAAACGACCTTCGCTCCCAGGTCAAATCATCCTTGAGTGGGTACCAGATGCAGTTCTGGGAAGTCAAGTGCCAATTGGTTTAAACCCATATGCCTGAAGGTGGGGAAAAGGGTCCTAACTATAAATTAGAATACGGGAATAATTTTTGTAACACACCGAGCTAGACCATAGGAAGAAATTGTTGTAGCAAAATGTAGAACTGTTTGTAACAGTATTTCAGAACAGGAAGAATTGTTGTAGCACAATGTTAGACCCTGGGAAGAACTGTTATAACAATAATTAGAACAAGAAGATTTTTAAAACAGCAGGAAGAAATATTTTAAAAGCATCCCCCATGTGGGTTCCGGGGCCCCATTTTGGAGGAAGAGAGTAGCCCCACAGCCTCTTTACAAGCATGTCTAAAAGGCGAGTAATTAGAGATTTTCCTCCGAAGATGGAGCTTATCTGCCTGAGAGGAAGCAAACCAACAGACTGCATACAAGTAAGCCATTTTGTAAAAGGGATGTGCACACAAAACACATGTTCTGAAACAATACTTGAGTCAAAAAGTGAATGAGCAACCAGAACTTTCCTCCGTAGCTTACAGTCTTAAACCTTAAGGAGGAGAAGAATATTTTTAATCAACAGTATATTAGAACATGGACAAAGAAGAGGAGAAATATTGACATCTTAAAAGATCTTAACATCAAGGAAGATTAGCTAATACACAGCATCCTTTCTCGGAAGCTGAAATATTTTGATCATATCAAGCACCACAACGGATTGGAAAAAAACTATAGCAGAAGGCATGATACCAGGTTGGCAGAAGCCGACCGACACGAAGGTGGGCACAGTGACTCCTTGAGTATGAAAGTTCATGAGGCGGGAGAACTGGCGAGAGACCGAGTTTCTTACAGGCAGACTATGATGAGAATGACATTCTGCAAAGGACCTGCTACATGATGATGATGATGATGATATTAGAACATTGAATAAATGTTTTACAGTACTAGTAATGATCACACAGGAAGAAAGCTGGCATCAAGAAAAGTTTAAAAAGGACAAAGACAAAATACAGGTTAGTTGGTAGATCTGTATTTTATACTTGTTTGGTGGCAACTCATTTGGTTATTCCTAGTGTACTTAATGTTTGATATGTTGCTTGTTTATGGTAGAGTTGGTAGAATGGTCTGTGAGAGAGTGTGAGTCTGGTTTCAAACTCAAGTAGTGTCACAAAGCCTGTTTGAATTGTTCAGTGCAATAAAATTATCAATTTATTGAAGTCTTCTGTTATTTATTTTGCTTGGCAGAGTGTGAAGAATAAATTATTTTGCTTGGCAGAGTGTGAAAAATAAATTATTAAGTCATATATCTTGTATACAGTGCACAACTGTTTGTGATTTGTTTCCGTTCCCCGGCTGTAAACTCTGACAGAAAGTCCTGGTTGTTCATCCATTTCTAGTCTGGCAGTTTTCAAGGATGTGGATTTTGCGTGCGCACCTGTGTTACAAATCTGGCCTAACTGTATGCAGACTTTTGATTCCTTGCCTTTCAGGCAGATGCATTTTGACCTCAAGGAATCCCCTAATTAGTCCAGGGCCCCTTGTGAGGAAAAACAAGGATGGACCCACTACCTTTCCAACAAACGTGTAGAAGTCAACTAATTGGGGATTACTCAGAAGTCAGAGTGCATCTGCCAGAGCAGCAAGTAACAACCAAAAATGGATAAAGATGCAGAACTCAGGCACTGGCACAAAGTCAAAAGTCCTAATGGACAAACAACCAGGATTTTCCCCTGGTTAAAAAAAAAGAGAAAGAAGACGACTTCTATGACATGCCTGTTAAGGAGGCAGTGGCTCTATTCTTATTTTCCCTACAAGGAGCCCCAGAACTCACACTGGGACCAGGACTTGACCCTTTCCATGCCATCAGTCATACAATGTTAGACCCCAGTTTGTATAAACCAGTACCTGTTATATCATTTGATCAACACTGCTCTGGCTAATTTTACTTCCTGTGACATTTTCTGGTAGCCATTTCAAGCTGGGTGGACCTGGGGCAGCCAAGGCCAATTATAAACATCCAGCTGGCGTGGGTTCAAACCCCAAACCTTCATGCCAGAATTTAGGCAGTTTGCTACCTCCCTGATTGGTAACTGTAGACCCACTGCACAGGACCA